TATATATATTATTTATAAATGTAATATAATTTATAATTATTTTTATATCGGATATAATATAAAGTTTTTATATCAAAAAATTTTCATATCAAATCAGTGTACAATTAAATCTTAAGGTGAACCAAAAGTTCGTACATTTATCGTATTATAAACTGTTTTATAAACTGCATAATGAATTGTTTTTGTATAAAATTGACTTTGTAAATATTAATTAAAAAGAATCACGAATTTTTGGTTCACCTTATTACCACTAAATGTTATTAACTTGTATGTATTTTAAATGAACAACCCCATTAAAATTTGTTCATACTTTTGAAATTGACACTTCATATACTTACGATAGCATTACTTCAATTTGATTCGTCAGAAAGTATTGCTAAAGTTAATGTCAGATTTTCACGAACTTTTGTAATTACTTAACATTTAAAAATATTTGTCAATTATTCTAACGTCATCAAAATGACGTCATGATATATAATATACACAAAAAATTCTACATAATATATCGATGTTCCTAACCTCAAAATTAGTATTTCAAATAAATGACATGAATCGAACAAGCGTGACATCATAGGTGTGAACATGAAAGATAAAAAGACAAAATATGTTGTGGATCGTGGTATTGAGGAAACGAAAAGGGATGATAGAGGGGGGGGGKGTAAGGAGGGGGAGCCTACACAAGGTCGAAGAGTTTATACGATCCGATTAATCGGCGCTAATTACGCGTGAAAATTCCATTCGGACGGTTTGATTTGCCGCGCACCATCGTTTATATCCGAGAACCCGAGAAAGCCTTAATCGGGTAATTTATCGCGAGCGTGCTCCTTCTTCAAACCCCCCTTTTTATCCCACCACCCCTTGCCACGCCATTTCATCTCTCTTTTCTAACTTTGCCAAGCACCGTTTTAACCCGAGCATCGATATATTTCAAGCTTTACGTGAGTTTAACCATTTGTCTCGATCTCTAATCCAACACATTAGAAAATAATGTTTTTTTTTTTTGATTTGGGAAATATTTACAGGGAGTATCGTGCAATTAGTATTGTGAAAATAATTGCTATAATTTGTAATTATTAAAGAACGTTTACTTTGATCTAATTAATTAGAACGTTATTTTGATCTAATTGTTCGATATTTGTTTTTTTAGTTAATATGGTATTTTGTGCGATGATAATTTTTGAGTGTTTTTATTTTAATAATAATATAAAATAAATCGATTAATAATAATAATAATTATAATGACATTATCATAAAATAAATCGATTAATAATAATAATAATAATAA